CTCTCTCTCTCTCTCTCTCTCTCTCTCTCTCTCTCACACACACACACACACACACAGCTGTCTCCTCTTTTCTTGGTTTTCGATCCTCTCTCTCTCTCTCTCGTGTGTGTGTACACATGCGCAAGAGAGCGCAATCATGCGCGAGCCTCACCGATGTACACACTGGCCGTTGCGTTCCCGTTCTGGTCATCTGCCTGGCTGCCGTTATCACCACTGAAGACTGCGTTTGTGAAAAGGAGAAGTTCCCCTCTCTCAAAAAGGTCAACAAGGTTGAGCGAAGAAAGGTAGGGGAAGCAGATGTGCTGCGAGGAGGAGAAAAGAAGCGGGGGATGGCCTGGCCATTACCGCAATTTTGGTAGTCCTACCGTCTTCATCCGAATAGAACTCACGGCAGTTATCGTTGCATGTAGACTGCAAGTTGCCCCGCCTACATACATAATGACCGGGCGTTCTGTGTGGGTGAAGGCGCTAGCCTGTTACAATGCGGTTAGCTTTCTCATCAACCACGCCGTTCCTACACCAATCATGCATTTCGTTGATCCTTTTTCGTTTGAAATCTCTTTCGGACCATTTCGTGGGTTGAATGGGACTCGCATCTACCGGTTGATCGGCAGATCTCCTCCCATTGGGCCGCGTTTACACTCCTCGCCGTAGATCAGGAGGATCCCCGGCCACAAACGCAAACATCCCAGGGGCATTCCTCCTACCGGGAAGAACCAATAAACCGGGGCAATACCTTTCTCGGTCGCTTGGCTAAGATCAAGTGTGGTCTCTGATCTGATCAGTTTAATAAAGGGTTAATTTCAAAAATATTGCTGTTTCGAAGTTTGGCAGCAAAAATGTCGTCTGTTCGAAGTTTCCTTTGCAAAAATAGAGCTTTCGTTGCAGCTTTATCGGGTTCCCGTAGCTTGCCAGCAAAATTAAAAATACAGCGTTTTGCCAAGTTTCACAGCAAAGGACCCCTAGGGGCCTGGCCTCAGGGACTCAGGCTCTCAGCCGGCCTCAGGCACT